GGATCATTGGTATCTAAGTCTTCCGCTACGCTATCATGTACTTTGTGATGAGAGGTCGGTTCTTGTTCTGGTCTGCACCGTTACAGTATGCAACAGTTTGGTATCGGAGCGGACCTCTCATTCAGAGGACCCGCTCAATCAAGTTGCGTGCTTGATGTATTGATCGGTCAGTAGTAAATCAAGTAGGACTTCGTCAAATCTCTGAATTTTTTTTCTTTCTCATATCTGGAAATTCGTGATAATAGCATTTTGTTTATCTGAAAATTTCTGATATTTGCATTTCGTTTTTACGCAACAAATATCTGAAAATCCTGATAATAGCATTTCGTTTTATCTGAAAATTCCGATGTTAGCATTTCGTTTTTACACAACAAATATCTAAAAGTTCTTCGTTTCTCTGATATTAAACATCCGAATTTCATATTCGCATACATAGCCGAAAGTTTTTGACGTTAGTATTTCGTTTTCTAGGCATTTAGGATAACGATAGAAATGGTCATATTCTCGGAAACCGGATTTATTCTGTTCGGAAAATCGAATCTCCATTCTATCTCGCAAATTTTTTTTTGAAAACTGAAATCTTGCGAAGCCTATCAGCATTGCATTTTAGGCATAGTAGGAGATTGTCACATTCGCAGAAACGAGATTTAGTCATTTTCTGAAAATCGTATCCCTACTCTATTTCGCGAATTTTTTTTCTCAAGATTGCATTTTGTGAAAGCCGAAATTTGCGGAACCTAGCCTAGATCTCGCTCATAGCACTCTTCTACATGTCTCACTCATAACAGATCGACCGATATACAAAAAAAAGAAAAAAAAAGGAAGTAGTCCTCTTTTATTTTTTTATTTTATCTGTTGATTAGGGTCGGGAGGAAAGTATTGTTGGGTTGGTTTCCTACCTGCGTTTTCCCTCCCACCCACCCCTTTGCATGCAGTTCCGGGTTGGTACAGTGCCACGTCATCAGTGCCACATCAGCAACAGTGCCACGTCAGCAGTGCCACATCAGCCACAGTGCCACTTCAGCAGTGCCACTTCAGCCACAGTGCCACGTCAACAGTGACACATCAACCACATGGCCACGTCATCAGTACCACGTCAGCAGTGCCACGTCACACAGTGCCACATCAGCAGTGCCCCGCCACCATGACGGGCCCAGCTCTGGGCATGCCAGGCCAACTGGCCAAAGCGGTTCATCGTTGACGACGCCCCGACGCTCGCCATCAACCGCATCTTCACGATGGCTCAAGGAAACACAGCGACACGTGATTGGCTCACGGATTGGCAGAAGATTGTGGCGACGCCCGACCTGGACTTGCCATTTCCGCATCTGCGTCGGGAGTTCTACAACCGGTCATGAGCCGCTTTGAGCCCCGCGCTTGGTGATCGCGAGCAGTACAACACCTTCGCCGAAATCATCAACAAGGCGAGGGAGATCATCAAGACAAACAGGGCGGCTGCACACGAGAAGTCAACGTGGCAGCCAACTTATGTGGAGAAGGTGAGAACTGGTCCGCGGCCGCAGCATGTCGCTGCAGTCCAAACGGACAACATTATGGACGACCTGGCAGCCACCCAAGCATCACGTGAGGGAGATCAGGTGGTTGCTGTCCAGCCGCGAAGCAACAACAAGTCCTGAGGAAACGGGAAAGCGAAAACCGCATCGCCGGCCGGAAACGGACAGCCAGCACCATGGGTCAAGTTTCACTTGAGTGAGGCGGAATACAAGTGGCGTGGCAACTACGGCTGCTGCTATTGGTGCAACAACACCAAGCACAAGACCTCCCAATGCCTTGATCAACGCAAGGAGGATGTTCGGCCTCGTATCAACTCTGGAAACTGAGTTGCGCAGGAGGTGACGCGACTCCACCTCTCACTCCGCCAGATTCGGCCGCCTTGCTAGCGGCCTCCTACACATCTGGGGAGGATGCGCATGTCGCAAGTCCTCGGTTCACTTACGAGGATTATGCTGTCCACTTGGTCCCACCGTTGGACCAACCACTCCACGTGCAACAATCTACCGCATGCACGGTTTCATCACCATCGACAACCGATTCGGCAGCTTCGCCGCCATCTATCGCCGGGGATTCAACGTCATGGTCAAGACTTGAAGAGCTCGACCCGTTGACTTTTACGGACTTCCAATGGATGCCCCTTCCCCGGTCCGGTCGATTGCCGAAACCGCATTGCAACGTGCTCATGGCACAGTTGCGGGATTACTTGCACACTGCAGTCCCAACTCCGTTGATGGACGTCGGAGTAGAGGTTGTCAACCTTCACACCTACATTGGGAAGATCGACTCCAAGTTCAAGAGACAACGGTACGACAACGTCGATGCACCATTGTTATATGTATGCATTCAGATCGGAGAGGCGACCTGTAGCGGTTTGATCGATTGCGGAGCATCTCGCAACTACATGAGCCAGAACTTTATGGTACGCGCCGGCCTTGGCCCACGCGTCCGGAGGAAGTCCCAGCCTACGCAATTCACGTTGGCAGACGGCCACACGCACAAGTCAATCGACCGGTGCATTGATGACGTCCCCGTGTACTTTGCCCCGCATGCAAGTGAGGCGGTGTCCTTCGATATTTTGGACACCAAATTCGACATGATCTTGGGCATGTCATGGCTGCGAAGCGAGGATCACCCGGTGAACTTCTACCGCCGCACCATTCAGATTCGTGATCGGAATGGAGTACTAGTCTCATGCACGGTAGCTCCTCCTCACCCTTTGATCAGCTGCCACATGGTGTCCGCCACAAGCATGCGAGCTTCCATCATCAGAGACGACATTGAGGAGATAGGGGGGTGTTTTCTCCACGCCCTCCCGCCCCATGACGCTTCGTCGACGGACTCATCTTTGGATCAACGCATCACCAAGCTTCTCAACGCCTACGAAGACGTGTTTGAAGGCCTGCACAGAGTAGTACCGGATCGGCCCATCCGCCACGAGATCATCCTCGAGGACGGGGTTGTACCTCCCCACGGTTGCATCTAACGAATGAGCGAGGAAGAGTTAAGTGTGCTTTGGGCACAACTCGACGACCTTCTGGAGAAAGGTTGGATTCGGCCTAGCTCATCGCCATACGGTGCTCCCGTTCTCTTCGTTCGGAAGAAGAACAAGGATTTGCAGTTGTGCATCGATTATCGCAAGCTCAACGCTCAAACGATCAGAAACGCCGGCCCTCTTCCACGCATCGACGACCTTCTTGAACGGCTGGGCGGCGCCAAGTCCTCAAGTCGGGATATTACCAACTCGAGATTCGGCAGGAGGACCGCTACAAGACCGCATTTAAGACGCGATATGGGCATTTTGAATGGCTGGTTATGCCATTTGGCCTTACGAATGCCCCGGCCACTTTCGAAGCGGCTATGGCTATGACAACGGAGTTCCGACACATGCTGGATTGATACGTACTTATCTACCTCAAAGACATCCTGGTATACAGCCGGAGTTTGGACGAGCATGTGGAACACCTGCGCGCCGTTTTGGAGCGGCTACGGCAAGCCAAGTACAAAGCCAACCCCGACAAATGCGAATTCGCGCGGCAAGAGCTGGGGTACTTGGGACATTACGTGACGCCGCAAGGCATCCGTCCGCTTGCGGACAAGATCGAGGCCCTCCACGTATGGTCGAAGCCCACCAACACCACGGACGTTCGTTCGTTCATGAGGTTGGCGGGCTACTATCAGCGATTCATCACCAGATACTCAAGGATTGTTGCGCCTATGACGAGATTACAATCGCCAAAGGTGCCAGTCGTATTCGATGACGACGCACGCCAGTCATTCCAAGCACTTAAGACGACCATGCTCATGACACCCGTCCTTAGCATCTATGACCCTGCCCTGCCTACGAGAGTGACAACTGACGCTTCCGGCTATGGCATTGGGGCAGTCTTGGAACAACACGACGGCGATGACTGGCACCCTGTGGAGTATTTCAGCCACAAAGTGCCTCCCATCAATTCGCTTGATGATGCAAGGAAGAAGGAGCTGCTCGCGTTCGTGATGGCTCTCAAGCGATGGCGACACTTCCTCCTTGGGCGTCCTAGGTTCACATGGGTCACGGACAACAACCCATTGACCTACTACAAGACGCAAGATACGGTGAGCAGCACGATCGGGCGATGGATGTACTTCATCGACCAATTTGACTTCACACCGAAACACCTCCCCGGCCTCTCTAATCGCGCAGCAGATGCACTCTCGCGAAGACCTGATCTTTGCGCTATGACACATCATGTCTTCACATTTGACGAGGAACTCCAGCGACACTTCATCCGGGGCTACGAGTCTGATCCGGACTTTGCCACGTTATATGCGCAGCTATCTTCGGATCACCCGCCGGCCAGCCACCATCGCATTGCCGACGGGTACTTGCTCCTCCACTCCAGAGGTAAAGACTTATTATGTGTCCCATGAGACCGTCGTCTTCGGACACACGTTCTCGGGGAGTACCATGACTCGCGACTTGTCGGCCATTTCGGAGTTAACCGCACTATTGCACGGCTTCGACAACGATTCCGATGGCCCGACCTCATTACCGATGTCACTCGGTATTGCGACTCTTGCGAAGTTTGCCGACGAAGCAAGCCCCGCAATCGCAACCCCTACGGTGAGTTGTGGCCAATGCCTATCCCACGGGAACCCGGCCTCTCCATTACCATAAATATCACCGAACCATTTCCCCGCGATCGCCTCGGGCACAACGGCATCCTCACGGTTGTGGACCGTTTGAGTAAGTACGCGCGTTTTCTCCCTTGCAAGTACTACTCGACGGCTCCTGAGCTGGCACGCCTCTTGCACACCGGCTGGATTTGCGGCCACGGTGTACTAGAAGACATTGTCAGCGACCGCGACACTCGCTTCATGTCGACATTTTGAACTTCTCTCATGCAGGAGTCCGACACGAAGATGAAACCAAGTTCGTCTCGGCATCCACAGACGGACTGGCAAACGGAGCGGGCACATCAAWCCGCTCAAATGATGCTTCGTACGCTCATCCGTCCGGACCAGAAAGATTGGGTTGACCGCCTCCCCAACATCGAGTTCGCCTACAAYACTTCGGTGCACCCGGCGATCGGCGTGACTCCATTCGAGTTACACCATGGTGGACGGAAAAGTCGTATATTCGTCGACCTTCTCCTCCAACGACCAGCCGTTATCGACACCGCTTGCTCTCTTTCTTTCGTCCGGAAGTACAGGGAATTGCTGGCTCAAGCCCGCGCGAACATGCAAAAGGCTCAAGTCCGCATGCAGCAGAAAGCCAACAGGCGTCGCGTGCCATATCCCATCTGCGCCGGTGATCTGGTTTGGGTCTCACCGGAAGAGTTTGCACTGGAACATGATGTTTCACGCAAACTGCTTCCCAAGTGGTTTGGACCATGGCCCGTAACATCAGCCGCGGGTGATGAGCCCGATCGCCCTTCATTTGTGATCAACATCCCCTCGCATCAGGGGGTCCATCCAGTCTTTCACGCCTCAAAGCTGACAACATATACACCAGCTAAGAGCGACGACTTCCCAAGCCGACGATCGCAGGACCCTCCATCTATGGATGGTCATCAGGAAGTTGACCGCTTCATCACGGATCGCAAGTACGGCAGCAAGCCTCGACAGTACAAAGTTGCATTCAGAGCATGCGATCCCGGTGACACTCGGTGGATTTTAGGAACAGATTTGAAAGCATCCGCACCGCTGATCTACGCTTACTACGAGCGACAAAGGTTAGCTCAGGGAACTTCACGACCTGCCCTTCCCACCATGACTGTGGTCCCTCCCTCAAATAGACAGCTTCGCCCTCGCAGGTAAGCTCGGTCTTTAAAGCAGGGGGGGGTGTGGCATACTGCGTAGCCACACGGGCCTGCAGGGCCCGTCCCGCATTCTCAGCCTAAAAGCCTAGAAATAAGGGCTTACAGACCCCATGTCGTTTTAGCCTGAAAGACTGAAAACGAGGGCCTGCAGGCCCTATTTCGTTTTCAGCCTATAACAGGGCTTTTCAGCCTGAAACGGAGGGCCACTTTCGGACCCTCATAAGATTTACCTACCCTAATACTCAGGCACAAAACCAGGGTTTCGGGAACAGGCTATTTCTGGTCTGTTCCCACGACAGCCTCAAGCAGGAGCTGCAGCGGCAGCCTCTGACTCCCTGCGGCATTGGCAAGAGCAGCCTCCTGGACTGCCTCGCCCTGCAGTCAGGAGGCAGGCCGAGAAGTACATAGGGAGTTCCCATGCACTTCACGGGCAGGTAGTTGGCCAGAAGGCAGGAGTAGTCTTCAGGATTCGGCCGCAGCACTGAGGAGTGCTGCAAGAGTAGCTTAGCGGTAGTAGTAGTCTTCAGCGCTGGGCGCTAGTAGCCATAGCAGTAGTCTTCAGCGTTGGGCGCGAGTAGGTGGTAGTAGAAGAGTTGGGAGAGATGACTGGGGGAGGCCAGTGGGACTTACCTGTGGCGCCATAGCTCCAGCTCCATCTTCGAGGTACCTGCATCAAGGTGCCAACTTCACAGGTTAGTACCGGACTKAGAGAGAGAGAGAGAGACTTCCTCTTCTAAGTCCACCATCTCTTCTTCCCCTCTCACCACCTGACTTCTCAATATCAGTGGACTACGACAGAGAGAGAGAGTTGTGACTTGGGACTTGACGACATTGGATCCAGACTCGACATTGGGATTCAGACATTTTGACGAGGAACTAATTGGGCCTATGCCGAAGACTTGCTGTTGACGACATTCCCATCTTCCCCTCTTCTTCGTCTAACCCCCCTCTTCTTCGTCTGTGTATGGTTGGGGCTGGCGCATTCTTCCTATKTGAGYGCYAGAMCCCTTCACACCATGGAGTGATGATGRTGATGYATGTTCGGGGCTGCATTGCAATATTGATTGTTCGGATCATTGGTATCTAAGTCTTCCGCTACGCTATCATGTACTTTGTGATGAGAGGTCGGTTCTTGTT